ATAAATGAATAACTCAGTAGAAGAGTAAGAAGATAAGTTGAGGAAAGTTTTCAGACAGGAGAGCAAAAGACTGAGATGGAAAAGAAAAAAGAAAATTAGAGGATCAGTACAGACCAACAGTTATCTGTTTCATCCAAATAATAGAGTTCCAAAAAGAGAGAACCAAGACAATGGAGGGAGAAAATCACCAATACAAATCACCAAGGAAATTTCCCAGGACTGAAGGGCATGACCCACACCAAGGAACATCATTATGAAAGTTCACAGCATTGGAAAGAAAAAGAAGATTCCACAGGAGCAAGAAAGGGAAAGGGGAGATTTCAAAAGAAAGATCATATATAATACAAAGGATATGAAATCAAATGACTTACAACTTCTCAATAGCAACACAAGGAGTTAGAAGACAATGGTGCAATGCCTTCCAAATTCTGAAAATTTATTTCCATCTTAGACTCACCTACACAGACAAACTATGCATCAAGGGCAGGTGTAGAATTTTCAGACATATACAGCTGCAAAAAATTAACCTTCCACACATTTTTCTTAGGGAACTACGCGAGAGTGTTTCATAAAACAAAGGAATCAACTGAGAAGGAGGAAGGAATAAGACCCAGAAAACAGGCCTCAACACAGTGGAGCAATAAAGGAATGCCCAGGACCTCAGCGCAGGATCTGAGAATGACAGAGGGCCCACCACTAAGAGAGTCATCAGAGGGCTCCAGGGCAGACTCTGCAGAGAGGAAGAGACAGAATGGCTGATGGGACCGCACATCTCAAGAGAAGATCTAGAACCCTGGCATAGAATTAGGGTTGATAAATGCATGGAAAGCCAAATAAATAAATAAACAAAAATAATTTTAATCTAGAGCAGCCCCATCTAGCAGAAACATAACATGAGACATATGTGTAATTTTAAATGTTTTGTAATCACATTTTTGTTTGTTTGTTTGTTGTTGTTGTTTTTGAGACAGAGTCTCCTTTGTTGCCCAGGCTCGAGTGAGTACCGTGGCATCAGCCTAGCTCACAGCAACCTCAAACTCCTGGACTCAAGCGATCCTCCTGCCTCAGCCTCCCAAGTAGCTGGGACTACAGGCATGCGCCACCATGCCCGGCTAATTTTTTCTATATATCAGTTGGCCAATTAATTTCTATTTATAGTAGAGACGGGGTCTCACTCTTGCTCAGGCTGGTTTCGAACTCCTGACCTCGAGCAATCTGCCCGCCTCGGCCTCCCAGAGTGCTAGGATTACAGGTATGAACCACCGCACCCAACCTGTAATCACGATTTTTTAAAAAGAGCCCAAACTCATTTTAACAATACAGTTGTCCCTTGATATCCTTGGGACATTGGTTCCAGAGCCCCATCAGATACCAAAATCTGAGGATGTTTAAGTTCCTAATATAAAATGGTGTAGTATTTGCATATAACCTATGTATATCCTCCTATATACTTTAAATCATCTCTAGATAATTTATAATACCTAATACTATATGAATGTAAATACTATATGAATAATTGTTATGCTGTATTTTTTAAATTTGTATTAGGTTTTATTGTTACATTGTTATTTTTTACTGGTGGTTTTTTCTGAATATTTTTGAACCACAGTTGGTTGAATTCTTGGATACAGAAAACCAAATATATATCATATTTAATCCAATATATCCAAAATACTGTTTTAACATAAAATCAATATAAAAATTATTAGATATTTTATGTTCTTTTTTTTATACTAACTCTTTGAGATCCAGTGTATATTTTGCATTTACAGCCCATCTTAATTTACACACTAAAATTTCTCAGAAATACTTGATTTCGACTGTATTTAATTTTCATTAAATTTGCAGTTGAAAAAGTGATTCATCTACCAAAGGTGTTCCAAACATACTTAAAAGTTTTCCAGGCTGGGCACACCTGTAGTCTTAGCACTTTGGGAGGCCTAGGTAGGAGGATGGCTTGAGGTCAGGAGTTGAAGACCAGCCTGAGCAAGAGTGAGACCCCATCTTTAGACGTCTATTTAGAAAATAGAAAAATTAGCTGGGTATGGTGGTTCACACCTGTAGTCCTACCTACACAGGAGGCTGAGGCAGTAGGATCGCTTGAGCCCCAGGAGTTGGAGTCTGCAGTGAGCTTTGATCACACCACTGCACTCTAGCCTGGGCAACAGAGCGAGACCCTATCTCTAAACACAAACGAAAAAAAAAGTTTTCCAAAGCCATCAGTTTTTAAATTTAGATGTAAAAGAATTAAAATTAATAAAAGTGAATTCCATCATTGTTCTAGCCACATTTCAAGAACTCAACAGCCACATGTGGCTAGTGGCTACTGTATTGGACAGCATAGATCCAAAGAGACTGAAAAGCTATTTGGAAAAGGAAAAATAATCATAGTTACTGCACGGCTCAGCTTTGAAGAACATATTCGGAATATTGATCTAATCAAAATTATAATATAAACTATATTGGGAATGTAGGGGGTAGGAAATGTTCATTGCCAAGGGACACTTTCATACAGTGACTCAGAATGAAAAATCAAAAAGTAGTAATATCATCCCATTAAATAAAAATATGTAAGTACAAAAACGATCTGTCAATATAGCTCCAAGTGGCTACCTCTCAGGAAAGAGAAACGGCAGGGAAGAAGGCTTGGGACTCCTGGTTTTCTCAACAAACTTCACAGTAATGGTTGACTCTTTTAAAATCATGTATGTATGACTTTGATTTTTAAAAATGATCACTGGAAAATCCATCCACGGGTGTGTAGAGGATTTTCTTTTCTTTTCTTTACTTTTTTGTTGAGACAGAGTCTTACTTTGTTGCCCGGGCCAGAGTGCCATGGCATCAGCCTAACTCACAGCAACCTCAAATTCCTGGGCTCAAGCAATCCCACTGCCTCAGCCTCCTGAGTAGCTGGGACTACAGGCACGCGCCATTATGCCCGGCTAATTTTTTTCTATGTATTTTTAGTTGGCCAATTAATTTCTTTATATTTTTAGTAGAAACGAGTTCTCACTCTTGCTCAGACAGCTAATTTTTTCTATGCATATTTAGTTGGCCAATTAATTTCTTTCTATTTATAATAGAGATGGGGGAGGGTCTCACTCTTGCGCAGGCTGGTTTCGAACTCCTGACCTTGAGCGATCCACCCACTTCAGCCTCCCAGAGTGCTAGGATTACAGGCATGAGCCACCGCGCCCGGCCTGTGTGGAGAATTTTCTACACAACATTGCCAATGTAGGATTGTCACTGTAAAATGTGTCCCCTTCCCATTGTCCTATGGAAGCAGCAACGAGGCAGCCCAAGTACAAGAGGGAAAATAAAGCAGAAAGGATGCAGCGGTAGCAGACGTGTCCTCCTGGCCACACCCTAAAGCCCACTCACTCTCAAGCGCCCACACCACAAGCAGGGACAGGGGAGGCCTGACAGAAGGTGTGCAAAACGGCCTCCTTCCCGAGGGCCGGTGGGGACAGGGAGCCAGAGGTGGCAACAGTCCCTGGCAGACACAGAGGACAGGGCCAGCGTGCACAGGGGCTGCTTCCCCCACGCTGCAAACCCGCCCCTTTGCACTCTGGCTGCTCCACTGGTGCAGGGGCAGCTTCCCTTCTCCTCCCTCCTCCCTGCCAACACCACCCTCCTTCGCGGCCCAGTGCACAACTACTCTCTCCCTTGAATATTCCCTCACTACCCCTGTCCTCCTCAGCCACCTTTTTTGTTGTTGTTGTTTAAATCTCATGCAACTTATGGGGTATATGTCTTATGGGGTATGGGCGTTAATTGTAAACTTTTGGATTGCATGCTATTATTTCACACATAATTTCCAATCTGCATGGTAAGAACAAGGACAATACCATATGCTCTTGTACGGCCCCCATCAGACCTAGCACAGGACTAAATCCACAGTACAGGTGTAAAGAGTATTTGATGATTGGTTGCTGATGAGATTACATATGGATTTCTATAGTACCTCTTAGCACTGAAACCATGTATTTATTTATAGGTAAGTAGATGGGGGAGAGAGGGAGAGAAAGAAAGAGAATTTGTATACATAGGAATTCAAGTGCAAAACTGAGCTAATTGTCTCTTCAGTTCATGGCACATTAATTATTCAAAATTGGGAAGTTCAGATCCCTTCTCTTCCTTAATTTTATTTGAATTTTTTTCCCTCTAACCTTGATCCCCATGACCTGCCTCCTTCCTCTTTCCCTACCTAGTAGACACCCATGTAATGTACTAGAAATTTGCCCTGGAAATGTAAAAATATTGTTTATATGTGTATGCTCTTCTTAACATTATTAATAAGGTATCATGCTACAGACCAAGGGTCCTCAAACTGTTTAAACAGGGGGCCAGTTCACTGTCCCTCAGACCGTTGGAGGCCGTTGGAGACTGCGGCACATTCCACACATGCACACTGTGGGCCCAGGATGAGTCGGCTGCTAAGCAGGACAGGCAGCAGTGGCAAAAACACCCAGCGGGTCGTGTGTGGCCCTCGGGCCAGGCCGTAGTTTGAGGACGCCTGCTCTAGACCCTATTTCGTACATTTTCATTCAAGAGTCTTTCTAAAGGACTATATTCTGCCATTGCTTCAACAGCTACACGGTGTTCCACCACACGCTCCCACCACATTTTATCCATTCCCCAAATGTTGAGGACCTATGTTGGCTCCAACTCCCTGTGACCCAACATAATACTGTGTGGAACATCTCTACACACGTGTGTTTCCAGATGGACCTGTGCAAGAGTTTCCCTGGCGTACACCGGGTTGCTGGGCTATGGCATATGCAAATACACCATTTGGCTACACTTTGAATTGTTCTCCGGGACGACCCCACCCATCCCGCTTCTACCAGCTGTGCCTGAGAATTCGCCGTGGTGTAATTCAGAAGTAGCTGGGACAGAAACAGCTCTGGGGGCACAGCTGAGCACCTCAGAAGATAAGTTCTTCAAGGATTGCCGTCATCTGTGTGAGGAGGAGAGGGCGAAAAGGCAGAGGCTGTTACCTGAGGGTCCATCACCTGTGCGCCTCACTCTACCAGCGCAGTCTGCCCATTCTGTGCTTCTGTCTCTTGGCTCTACCAGTTAGGGCACCACTTGTCCAGACAGCTGTTTGCATTCACTCCTCCAAAGGTCCCCTACCTTGGGAGAAGAAGGAAAGGGGGAAGAGAAATAAGCAGGGATTAATTAAGAATGTCTGATCCTATAGTTTCTTAAATGGTAAACACAGACACACGCACAATTAACTAGAAGGAACACGGCTCTGAGGGTGACGTCTATTCCCCACCTACCAGGGAACTGACGCGCCCTTCGCCAGGTGCAGCTGAGCAGTTCACTCTGTCTCCGTCTTTTCCTGCCTGCACCCTGGTGTTTCATCACCCAGGTCCTACATGGTCCCAGCGGCGTGGGGCTCTTCAGTTTACCCTCTTCCCGTCCTCCATCTGGGGACACCTAACGTGGCACCGCCGAGCGCCCTCTCCAGTGTGCCCCGTGCCCTCCATGTGCCCATGCTTGGGCTTGGAATCAGACACCGTGGGCCCCTTTCCCACTCTGCCTCAGCTGCCGAACCCCGAGAGCCAGTGGAGGGAAGAACAGATCAGGCGCCGCCACCGAGACAGGAAGACAGAGCACCTGAAAAGGAGCAGAGAGCCCTCCCCTGCCTCATCCCCCAGGGCCCCCTGTCTCCCTCTCCTTCCCTCCCCTGACTCCCACCATCTGGGGTCCACCTCTGAACTGACAAACTCCTGCTTGGTTACATCTGGTTCAAGAGAAAGAAACAAGGAGTTTGGAGACCTAAACTAATGGGCAGCACTTGGCATGCACAATAGAAGCAGCTGCTGTTTATAGCCCTTTTTAAGGGTGGCCTCAAGCCGGACCTCACACTTCCCCTCCCTGTGGGGCATTGTTTTACACAGAGCATCTGGAACCTCACAATCTTGCAGCTCAAAAAAAAAAGAAAAAGAAAGAAAAAAGAAAAAAACCATGCATCCCATGAATCTTTGAAACTATAACGAACTGTCTTCCTGGGAAAACTTCCCAAACCTGCTCCTACTTACCTCTTATGGTGAGGCAGGTCCATACTGTTCCTAATTCCTCACCTTCTCTATCCATTAAGTGGGAATATAAAGACCAGCCTGCCAGCTGTCCAGCAAGAATGCTGTCCCATGAAGCCTTTCTCTAAATAGCAGCCTGCAAGGTTTGAAACACTTCCAATTTCTTAACTGGGAAAAAGACTCAGCATGAATTCAGGTTATCAGTTCAAGACTAATATCACACTGCAGAAGAGGAGAGTAGCAAGGCCCATCCTGCTTGATATTGTTATCTGCGCGTCTTTTCTGACCCCAGGGTTTCTCTTCCCTGGTCTTGTACCCATAGAAACAGGCCCGGAGTTGGCAGGCGGCAAGGAGGCTTCCACACGCATCATCTGACTCCACCAGCGGCCTTCCAATACCAGCCTGGATTTCAGACGCCTGAGCTGGCTCCATTGGGCAAGGTGGCGCCTAATTACCTCCCTTCTGTTTTTTCCCTTCTCTCCTCCCTTGTCCTCTTCCCTCCCCACCCCCTCAGAGGGACAGCCTTTCCAAGAAATAACACACGCGCACACCTGGCGCGGCGAGATAGGGAAGCTCACCATGGATACCGGGCTACCATTCCCACTCCGGCTGCGGCTCCTGGGAATAAGTAACTATCTCTAGAATGCTACAGACTCCAGATGTGCACCGACTAGTGCCTTGAGACCTGGCTTCCCTGCCTCATTATGCCTATTTTTTTCCACAAGTTTCATATATGCATATTAAGCTTTCAGAAGGGGAAAAAAATTGGAAATGGTAATCTTCCTCTTAATATGCTACCACATGCCAGCCCCGAACAGCTGCGCACACACAACACATTGGACTGGACATGAAATATGGCCCGGGACCATTTTTTAAGCATTCATTCCCAGGACTTACAAAACACATTTACTTGGAGGGAGGTCACACAGTCTTCCTTCTGCATAAAAAGGTGGCTTTGAAATAGGTACAGCCATCTGGAAACAGCCTCCTCCGCTATTGATATGTAAAATGCACGTATTACACCATCCTGCTCAGGACCCTGCAGCAGGAGGCTGGGACACACAGCCGCAATTGTTTAGATATACAGCCTCTGGGCCTCTGTCGTGCTTACCTTGCTCTGAAACACCATTTGCAGGCAGCCTAGGTGACTCTGGGCAGGCTGGGAGGCGATTTGCTCACAGGGGCACTCATCTGTGTGCCCAGATTTGGGGGAAATCATTTGGACACTCTTGACTGCTGCTCCGGGCTTGCTAATAAGAAAGAATATGTCAAATGCATGACTAAAAGTAGATAGCAAACACACCAGCGAAATAATGACCCTAGCTCTTTTGCTCATTATAGCCAAGCATTTGCTTCCCGCCTTCCTAACACTTAAAGATCCCACTCTTAACAACTGGTTTTGTCCTGAATTTAGAGAACAAGAGCAAGGGGCCCTGGATTGCTAATTGATCTCCATGTAGTCAGGGGGATGACTCTATAAGTTTATTAACATTTGCTCAGTAAAATGAGCATCCTCCCTCTCAACATTTATGCAAATAAATCCTGGACCTCTGGAGCTATTTGACTTTTGTGTTGTTTCTTCCATTTTTATTCCCCAAGGCTTATATTTTAATCTCTGTTTTATTTTTTATATATATACATATAAATGATGTGTATTACCCAAATCAGCTGCTTTAAAATTTTTTAAATGCCTGGTCAAAAAGCACAAAGTGGCCGGGCGCTGTGGCTCACGCCTGTAATCCTAGCTCTTGGGAGGCCGAGGCGGGCGGATTGCTCAAGGTCAGGAGTTCAAAACCAGCCTGAGCGAGACCCCGTCTCTACTATAAATAGAAAGAAATTAATTGGCCAACTGATATATATATAAAAAATTAGCCGGGCATGGTGGCGCATGCCTGTAGTCCCAGCTACCCGGGAGGCTGAGGCAGAAGGATCACTCGAGCCCAGGAGTTTGAGGTTGCTGTGAGCTAGGCTGACGCCACGGCACTCACTCTAGCCCGGGCAACAAAGTGAGACTCTGTCTCAAAAAAAAAAAAAAAAAAAAAAAAAAAAGCACAAAGTTTCATTTAGACAGGATGGATAAGTTCTGGGGATCTCTTGGACAGCTTAGTGGCTATAGTTCATAATACTGTGTTGTATACTTGGAAATTGCTAAGGGAGAAGATCTTAAATGTTCTCAACACACACACACACACAATGATAATATGTGAAGCTATGGGTATGTTAATTAGCCTGACCATGGTAATCGTTTCACAATGTGTGTGTATTATATATATATATATATCAAAATGTGACATTGTGCACCGTAAATATATAGAATTTTTAATTGTCAATTATACCTCAATAAAGTTGGAAAAAAAATTAATGTCATTCCAAAAGAAATCCCAGAAAGAATGCGGAGCTCTGGAGAAACTCAAAGGGTTAAGCTGTTCAAGGCGCGAACAGCAGAGCCCCTGTTGCAGAGAGCGGGAGCAGAGCGCAGGCCTGGTGGAAGGCGGAGAGCAGTGTAGGTCAGCCCGTCCTTTGCATTGTGAAGAGTTTGAAAGGGGCTAATAAACCCAGCAGCCTATGGCAAAGGTAATTTATTTTATACTCCTAGTCATCACATGCAATATTTTTCAGAGGGGGAGAGCAAGTGTAATTCAAAGAAAGTGATAAACAATAAAAACAATAATGACGCTTCCACCCCCATCGTGAGACCACGTGCCTTTCTCGTCCCTTCTGCCCTGCATTTCGCAGCCTGTTTGTACGCCAGCATCCTGGAGGTGCCTCCCTAAGAGGCTGTGGGAAGGCGACTCTGCCTAGTCTTTGGTCGGTGGCCCTTCTGGAGGGGACATGCATTGCAGGAGATGAGCAACTTCCAGGTGTGGGCACACACATGTCTGCACAGGCCCCTCCCAGCCCCACCCCTGGAACACGGCACCACTTGGCTCCCACTTGGCTCCCAGCCAGGAATAATAACTAAGTAAACGCCCTCCCCTTGGTGGATTGGCTGAGCCCACATGGAAGACAGCTTCTCCAGGCTCCAAAGAGGCTGGGCCCCTCCGCTCCCAGTGCGTACTTGCTGCATTCTACACGGATGAGGTCATTGGGCTGCAGATGAGCTAATGGTGCAGCCTGCCCAGGAGCTGGAGGAGGTTACCATATGACCAGTGGTGTAAACACAGTGAGGTCCCCATGGGGCTCACAGACAGCTGGGCTCTGCTGCTGGCTGCAGAGCAGTGGGAGCCGCAGGACTCTGGGAGCTGTCCACACTCTTAAAGGAGCCAAATGGATGCCTGGGCTCATGTCACATGCACCCTGACATTGGTCCACCAGCCTAGGCTGAGAGCAACATCCCCGCAGGAAGAGGGCTAGCTGGCCCTATGGAAGGTTCCCATGGCGGCATGGATGAATAAATAACACGGTCCCTTTAAAGATGACCTCTCCAAGGCAGAGACACGGTGCCCCAAGGCCTGCATGGCGCTTTGCAAGTGCAGCTCTAAACCACTCTGCACTCACCTGGCGGAAGTGGGTCCACCATTAAGACATGTAAACACATCTTTTAATATTCCCTAAGTTACAAACATGGCTGGGAAACCAGCACTCAACAGAAACAATAAATACACTTGTTAAGGATCTTCTAAACTATAGAACAACAGATGCATTTCCAGAGGCAGAGCTATCCTGCTCAGTGGTTCCAGGGTCCTGCACTTCTCAAGGTCAGAATGTTCTTTCCAAGTTCAAGTCTAATTAACTAAATTCTGCATCTACCTCATGCATCCCTCATGTATTTCTTTTCTACTGGGCCCTCGCAGATACCGAGCACTATGTGCAACACTGGGAGTGCTGTGGGAAACGGGAGCTCACACGCTAGTGGACAATCCAGGAATGCTTGGGACAAAGAGGGCTCGGGTTGCGGAGGGACAACGTGGAAGTTACACAAGCAGAGGCCTAGGAAGGCCACCCTGAGAACCTCATTAAGCGGAGCCAGACACCGAAAGTCACAGTAAGAGTCACAGCAGTAGTGGAGAGACTAGCTGGCCGTCACTGTGGCATGGGGTGCTCAGTGCTGGGTGCTACGGGACACATCGAGTGACTCCCAACCATCCTGTGAGGCAAGTTCACCATGACCCCTGCTTTAGAGATGCTCACAAAGCTTATGAGAAGTTAAGTAACTTGCCCAAGGAAGAGGTAGAATCAGAATTCGAATCAAGGGGCTGGGACGCCAGAGCCTGCACTCTACAATCGCTCTACGCGAAACACAGTCAAAGGACACCAGAAGAAGCAGACACTCACTCATAGCAAGCATAGATTTGTGCCCTGCCAGCAACACAGGCAGCTATGCAGGGACACAGGGCGGGGAGACCCTGGCAAAAGACAGCTGATGATGGGAGAGTATTCTGGGAGGAGAAGAATAGCATCTGTATAGGTCTGTGTGTGTGTTCAGCACATGCACATACAAGACAGACAGAGAGAGAGAGACTTTGTAAGCCATATCAAAGTTTTGAACTTTCTCCTGGAGGCCATGGGAAGTCATTTGCTATGGTTTGAATGAGTTCCCCAAAATTCATGTGTTGGAAACTTAATCCCCAATGTGACAGTGTTGGGTGGCAGGGCTTCATGGGAAGTGTTTGGGTCATGAATAGATTAATGCCATTGTAAAAAGGGCTCATGGGAATGGGTTCACTCTCTTGGGCTCTTGCCCTTCACCTTCCACCAGGGGATGGCATAACAAGAAGGCTCTCACCAGACGCCAGCACTTAGACTTTCCAGCCTCCAGAATTGCAAGCCAAGGAATTTCTGTTCCCTATAAATTACACAGTGTCAGGTATTCCGTTATAGCAGCACAAGACAGACGAAGACATCATTGAAGGTCTCTGGGAGATGATCAGATGTGTCGATTTGAAACACGGCTCTGGCTGCCGTGTAGAAAATGGACTGGTGAGCAGTGACAGGCACGTTGCAACACCCAGCTGGGAGGAGGAGGACTGAGAAGGAGCAATGGCTGCAGTACCCAGGTACGGAGTCAAGCTCTACACAGGAGGCAGAGTCAGCAGGCCTCGGTCATGGATTGGACATGGGGTGGTGTGAGGGTAAGAGAAGAGAAGGAAGCTGGAAGAGGGAGGGGGATGTTTGCAATGGCACTGCAGGATGCTGGAGGAAGATCAGGTTTGAGCATGCCCAGTAGGCATTTAGACTTGCAGATCTGAAACTCAAGAACAAGATCTGGCCTGAACATAGAGATTTAGGAGTCACCAATATACACTGGGCAATAGAACCTCATGGTTGCTGAGCATGACTGAGATGTCCCTGATACCCACTCCTTTAACTTGCATCCTCTTGATGCTTGTAGAAAGGCACAACCTCCCCACTGGGATGCAAGCTACAGGAGGACAAGGACATTTTTTTCTCTTATTCTCTACTTACTCCCTAGTACATGGCATATGGAATGTAGGAAATGTCCCATAAATATTGTGGAATAAAAGAACTAAAAGATAATTCTTTCTAAAATAAAGTTATAAAAATGGGCTGGGCACAGTGGCTCATGCCTGCAATCCCAGCACGTTGAGAGGCCGAGGTAGGAAGATCACTGGAGCCCAGGAGTTGCAGGCTGCAGTGAACTATGATTATGCCACTGCACACCAGCCTGGGTGACAGAGTGAGACCCCACCTCTAAATAAATAAATAAATAATAGAATGATACAGGCAGAGGGTTTTAAAAATTATAAAGCATACCAAAAAATGTAAAATTTAAATTCTCCCTCAAACCCTCCCCCCCCCTTATGTAGACCCACTACATAAGACAGGGAAATGATCACGCCCACAACACGTGGTCCTTCCAGCATCATCAGCTGTGTGCGTGCTTCTACATACAGCATGAAGGCTTAGAACACATACCTTTTGTCCTGAACTGTAGGGGGGTCTTTCTTGCCTTGTTAAACACAGGTTGACTCTAAAACTTGACACTCGGACACCACATCTACAATGCTACTGCTATTGCATAAATACTATCCACTGCAGCTCCAAGGAGTGTCATTGTTCTCGTAGAAAAGTCAGTACATAGTACACAAACACACACACACACACACAAATAGTGACGGTTAGAGATAATAGATATGTTCATTGGCTCCAATGTGGTGATCATTTCACAATGTATAATGTATATCGAAACATCAAGTTGTACATCTTAAATAGATACCGTTTTATGTGTCAATGATATCTCAGTAATGCTGTTTTTTTAAAAAACAAAACTCAGTGCAGCAACCACACTGCATATCACTACACCTGTACTGCCCAAAGAAGGATGCACTACACATTGAGATCAAATGCATCCTCTTTTCTTAAATTACATCAGCTGCTCTAAATCATGCCACAGTTCAGCTTGCTTCACAGTTAAACCATAAATTTCTTATAAAATTTTTATTTTCCCCACAATTACTATAGCCTTTCTATTTTCTAATGAACAGAAGACACATGCACCCATCTTATCATGACAATCTCCCAGGTTCTTCATCATATAATGTGTGTCATATAACCCCCTTTCTCTTTCAAGCCATTCTTTACGGGCCCCCAGCTTTCCTGCTCTCATTTGGACCAATTGTTCCCTGAGTCTGCTGCACAGCTGTCATCCCAGGGCTCCTTTTCATTGTACTCCTGGGCTAGTCCCACTGTTTCTCAGATTCCCATTTTCCTTTTCCTTTGAGTCCTTTTTGTTTCAATTTTGCTATGCCATATCTCAGTCGCACTAGCATTCTCTCTGACCCCAGAAAACACCAAAACTGCACCCCCTGCCAGCTCCAGCCTCGATCTTTACACAGCTCCTTGATGTCGTTCGTTCGAGTCAGGTTTAAATGATGCTTCATCATTGACCCTCCCCCACGCCATCAAACCTAAAAAAAAACAACCTCCCCTTCTCTATTAAAACAAATTCTTTAGTTTTCAACATTAATACTTTCATTTGCTGATATTTTTCTGATTTTATTCACTTTTTTATATTCTGTCCCTCTCATTAAAATGCCAGGTCCAAGAGCAACATTGTTTTTGTCTTTTCTACCTGTGACTCCCTAGAGCAAGGAGAGGCACATAGAAGAGGTTCAAGGAGCACGGCCAGAAGAGCTCTCAGAGGGCCACATTCACACACAACACCCAAGTCTCTTCCACTCCATCCTCTGACATGACAAAGAGAGGTCAGAATCTTAGCATCCCTCTCTCTTCTGACATCTTGCTACCCTGAGACCATAGCTCTTGGAGGGAAGAGGAGCTATAAATTGGTGTGACAAGATGCTAAAGGACAAGGGGAGATGCTTAAGGAAAAATGGATGGCAGCCATTTAGCTAACTTACCAAGTTTTGTTTAGCTAAGAGGGTATGCAAGCTGAAGGAAAGAGAGAAATTGTTGGATTTTGCTACAGACACTGTAGAAGACTAGGTATTTTGAAAATCCCTACATAGCAAAACACTAAGATGCTGGATAAACTGCAACGTTAAACAAATTGATTAACTCTCAGGATAATAAAAGAAATTCCCAGAAATATAAAGTAAAACAAAATAAGCCATGAACAAAAAGGTAATAAAATCAAGAGTCAGGGTTGCTTAGGAGACAATTACCAATACCAGAATACTAGAGCAAGGTTGGCAAATCACACTGTGCAGGCCAACCACCTGTTTTTGTAAATAAAGTTTTATTGGCACATGGCCATGTCCATTCATTTATGTATGGTCTGTGGTGGCTGCTTTTGTGCTACAACAGCAGAGTTAAGTAGTTGCAACAGAGACCATATGGCCCACAGGCCTAAAATATTTACTATCGACCCTTTCAGAAAACCTTTAATAGTTGTTCAGGGAAACAGGGCCTGTACAAAGAGAAGGGATGAACTTAGACTCATATAAAGCTGGAACCTTCAAACAGGCTCACCCTCTAGGGAAAGAGTTGGCTAGACAAAAAAAAATACCTCCTGGCAAAACAAACCAGAGGGAAATGTCTCCACGACAGCTCCAGGTAGAAAATATTAATAATAGCAATAATAATAAATAATAATGATGATCTCCCTGACAAGTTGTAACTATTGGACTGTTAATTACAACTTTCACATGGGTCTCATGCTTAAATTTTTATTACCCAGATAATCTTGAAAACCCCAATCAGAGAAAATAAATGTCTGGCAGAAGGAAATGCAAATCTTTTCCAAAGCCAAGCATTCATTTTGCAGTTACATGAGAATTCCCACAGTTTAAGTTCAATTAAATATAAGTTTTTTTAAAAGAGAACAACTTTACCAAACCTCAAGATAGCCAACAACCACAAGTGAGAGTCAACAGAATCAGTAGGTAAGATTTAAACTTCAAAGCCTTCAAATATTAGAATTATCAGATATAGAATATAATAATGTATGATGTAAATGTACTTAATGCCACTGAACTATACACTTAAAATGGCTAAAATGGTCATTTTCTGTCATGTATTGTCTTAACCCATTTTCTGCTGCTATGACAGAATACCATAGACTGGGCAACATACTTTTTTAAAAAATGTATTTGGCTCATGGCTCTGGAGATTGGAAGTCTAGAAGCATGGCAACAGCATCTGGCAAGGGTCATCCCATGAGGAAGGTGGAAGGAAGCTCGAGAGACAAAGAGACAAACTGGACAAAACTCATTCTTTTTAACAGGAACCCACTCCTTTGATACCTAATCCACTCCCACAAAAATTGCATTAATCCCATTTATAAGCGTGGAGCCCTCACAACCTAATCACCTCATAAAGGCCTCACTTCTTAATCTGCTACAATGGCAATTAAATTTCAATGTGAGTTTTGGTGGGGACATTCAAATCATAGCATGTATACCATAATGAAAACACATACACACAAAATAAATAAATATATATATATGAAATTTTGAAAGAAATAAAAAATGATATGAAAAAATGAACAAGGAAAAGGGGACTATCAAAAATGACCAAACAGTAGGCTGGGTGTGGTGGCTCACATCTGTAATCCTAGCGCTCTGGGAGGCCAAGGTGGGCAGATCATTTGAGCTCAGGAGTTTCAGACCAGCCTGAGCAAGAACAAGACCCCATCTCTATTAAAAATAGAAAGAAATTAATTGGCCAACTAAAAATATATAGAAAAAATTAGCCGGATATGGTGGTGCATGCCTGTAGTCCCAGCTACTCGGGAGGCTGAGGCAAAAGGATTGCTTGAGCCCAGGAGTTTGAGGCTGCTTTGAGCTAAGCTGATGCCACGGCACTCTAGCCAAGGCAACAGAGTGAGACTCTGTTTCAAAAAAAAAAATGACCAAACAGATTTAACAAAGAACCAAATAGAATTTATAGAAATTAACCTACATCTACTTAAAATGATATATATTAAACTATATACATACACATATATGTGTGTACATGTGTAGATAGAAAGATACATAGATGGGGAGGGAGATGGGCAAACTAATGAATAGGTGAAACAGCAAAATAAACATGAACAAAGAAAGGATTTGCGAGCTGAAGATAAATCTTGGGAAAACATTCAGAATGCAGCACAAAAAGATAACAAAATAGAAAACAGTAAGAGAAAGTGAGAAAAGAATGAGAAGTTTACCACATATCAAAACAGAGTTCCATAAAAAAGAATAGAAAAATAGGAGACCCTGTTTGAAGAGATACTAGCTGAGAAAATTCTAGAACTAATGAAAGACATGATTCCTCAAATATGGGAAGTATAATGCATCCTAGGCAGGGTAAATTTTTTTAAAATAATCACACACACTAGGCATATTATATAAAACTATAAAACACCAAAGCCAAAGAGAAAATGTTTAAAGCATCAAGAAAGAAAAGACAGATCATCTACACAAAATGACTAGTCTGACAGCACACTTCCACTGGGAATAATAAAGCCAAAGGACAGTGGAATTATGCCATCAAAGGCTGAGCGAAAATAACCACCAATCCAGAATTGTGTCCTCAGAAATATCATCTTTCAAGAATGATAGTGAAATAAAGACATTTTGGCAAAACAATAACTGAGACAGTTTACCACTCACAGATCCTTATGAAAGGAACATCTAAAGGGTGAACACGTGTAAGAAGAACCATCATCCTAGCAGAATGCTCTGATAGAATAAGAAATGCTGAGCTGAATTGCTCAGAAAATAGAGAGAATTTTAAGATAAGAGAAGAGAGGGAGACAAGAGAGCTGGCAAAAGAGATATTTAATGGAAGTCAAAAGAGGTGTGTAAAGGGTGTCTTACTCTGTTTTTGCAGTGTGGAATGCATTGTGGATTCTTCCTCATGATTTCCCATAATATCTTCAGTAAGATATACATTTCTCCCAAATATGTAGTAGAGCTGAATCTATTTCTTGAGATTGGATTAAGAGCCAGAGAAATGCTCAACATATATGCACAGCAAGAAGAGGATTAACAGGTGCTGTACATGGGGTATTGGTGGAGGAGTGGACATTCTCCAGATGTGTCCCCTAGCTGCAGTGGGCATAGCCCAAGGGTTTTCTGGTGGGAGCTACTAGTATTATTTCTATGGAGCACTTTCATAGTTTTTTTCTTCATACCACTCATCATAAGCAAAAGGAATTACTTACCAGGTTGGATTACAGAGCAACTTGGTTACTCACCAGGGTGGATTATGGTTGGACTATGTCTCAGAAGAAAAGTTAAGCAGCACCCCACTTCCACCAAGGTCAGACCTCAGCATTGTGGACGGCAGACTCCAAGCACAATCTTAGGGGAAAAGGGAAATGAAAACTCACATGATCAGACACCAGGCCCCACTCTTTTCCCATATTACATCATTTGACCCTCACACATAAGGTATATGGGGCTTACAAGACAGGTGTGGCCATTGCATGGTGGGAAGGGGGCATGGAAAAGAGGGGGAGCAAAGTGAATATGCCCAACAAACTTGGAAATGAGTTTGTTCCTAATAATGACAAGCAACACATAATGGATCAGATCAATGATCTAAGAAGTTTTCTAACTAGGGGCAACCTGACTATTGCCGAAATCAGGGGTTAGCAAACTACATCCTGTGGCCCAATCCAGCCCACCACCTGTTTTTGTATAGCTGTGAGCTAAGATTGGTTTTTACATTTTTTTAATGGCTGAAAAAAAATCACAAGAATATTTTGTGATAAGTGAAAATTCCATGAAATTCAAATTTCAGTACTTGCCATGATCGGCATGCTCGTGTTCCTCACCCACCCCAAAATGTCGAAATCCGAATCACCAATATACTGGTGGTATTAGGAGGTGGAGCCTTTGGGAGGTAATTACACTATGAGGGTAGAGTCCTGTGAACGAGATCAATGCCCTGATAAAAAAGGCCCCAGAGAACTGCCTTGCTCCTTCCACCACATGAGGACACAGCGAGAAGAACAGGACCATCTATGAATCAGGAAGCTAGCTCTGGCCAGACACTGACTCTGCCAGTGCCTTGATCTTGGACTTAACAGCCTCCAGAATTGTGAGCAATATATTTCTGTTGCTTATAAGCCACCCAGTAGATCGTATTTTGTTAATACAACTGGAAAGAACCAAGACAGTACCATAACATTTTATTGGAACACAGCCATGCACATTCATTTACATATAGTCTAGGCTGCTTCTAAATAATAACCACAGAGTTGAGTAGTTGTGGCAGAAATAACAGAGTAAGGGATGAGTAAGGCAGGGGAAAAACGTCAGGGCCATCATTCCAATGGAAGTAGTGCCCACGTAGCAACAAGGGCCACCAACGCCCACATTTGATACATGGGCCTTCTGCTTCTGTTGCTCCTTTGTCTTCCTCACCCCTCCCCCCAATGCCGAGGTGCAAAATGCTCCCTTCCTCCCCCATATTTCACATGCCTGTTAGAAGGCTGTGACCACAAAGCTCCACACTCGCCTTGACCATGGCCACAGGCTCAGTGTGGCTCCACTAGCCCAGCTGACTCAGCCCTGGTCAGGATGGTCAGTCTGCAGACAACATTTGGTTTTGTCACAGCTTGAGTCCTTCCGAGTAATTTTAAGAGATGATAAACTCTGGAGGAACTGAGACACAGAGGTCCCTGACTCTGTCCCATACAAGGTGGATAACGGAAGGTTCTGGCCACTCTGGGAGCTCCCAGGGCTCTGTAGCTCCTGTGGCCACCTGCTCCCTTCAGGAGGCCACAAACGCACCTGGCCTCAGTTTGTACCCCAGCATGCCTCTCTCTCCTGAGACAGCACTGCTGGTGAGTTAAGACACACCTGGTTTAAATCCTAGCTGTGCCACTGGGCTGCGTGACCTTGGAGAAGGCACCTCACTTCTCTGAGTCATGTCCCCACCAGCACAACGAGGACAGTGAGGCCCATTCCACAGACTGCTGAAGTTGGCGAGGCAGGCAACTTCCCGGATGGGACACCTTCGCCCCTCCTTGCCCCACCTGAACTGCTTCCCATGCCTCTCTGCCTTGCCGCTGTTAATCCTTGTCCTATCCTTGTCCTATTTATACTTCCCCCTCCTTTTCCTGGCACCTATCTTTAAGTTCAGCTTCCCTGGGAAGCTTCCAACCCCGGGCTTGCTTGGCTGCCACTCCCCTGCGCACGCACGTGGCTGCCCCTGCTCACCTATGCCACAGCCCTTACTCCAGCGCTGCAAAATTCTTTCCACGCCTGCCTGCCTTGCCCTTTCCCGAGTTCCCCCAAGGCAGGAGGTTGATTCTTTGTTCCCCATTCCGGAGCTCATTGCCTGGCACACTGACCGGACTCTAATGCAGGCTGAGGGGAACAGGGCAGGAGAGAGGACCCGCTGCGATCACAGCATTCTTGAGTTCTGGAAATGTATGCAACTTGTCCCTTTCAGTGTCTGTAACTCTCCAGAATCTGACCTCTTAGAACTGAAATCTGCCCTGCAAGGGGACTCTGCCACAAGCTGTGGCAACTCCACAGGAAGCCTTGTGTGTGCTACCCCCGCCGGTGCTGCCCCTCGGCTCTAGGCCCCATTACTGAGAATCTGAAGGCCGAGTGTCTGTCCTGGAGCCCCCGGTCATGTGTGCGCACAATCAGTAGCCTGTCCAATACAAACAACCCGGGAAAGACAATGCCGGTCTGTTCCAAAGAGAGAGGAATTCTAAGCAGTTGCTATTTCCTGGATGACTGAGTATTCTTTACCCTGACAACATGGACAGTCTGAACAGAATTTATTCAAAAACATCTTTTCCCCCAGTTTCAAATTAAGAGGTGCAACGTTACCCTGACCAGTTTGTGATAGTGATATCAGAAATAGGGAGGCTTCCAAAAGGTAGGTCAGTACCACCACCAAGAAGTATGCAAATTCAACTGTAAAAATCAGAAATCAGAGTGCAGGGAAGAATAGCAAGTGCATGCACACTGTTTTCTGGGAGACCTATAGGTATACTTTCTACCTCCGATCTGTCTCATTGTGCACATGATTCTGCATGTTCCATACAGACATTATTTTTTAGCTTGAATATCAGGCTAAGGAGGAAAACACTGTGGCCTTTTATAAGGGAGAGTGTCTCCCTAAGGAAATAATTGAAGGCCCCAATTGCTCAAGTCTTTCCAAATAAACTGTACAAAGCACTCCTGAAAACACTGTGGGGAATAATTCTGTATTCGCTGGGGAATCAGCTAGATGATCTAATAGGTCTTTGCCCTTGCTCTAATTTTGATGATTCATGTGTGACTTATTTAATTGTTATCATCTATTGCAGATATAAAAAAGAATGCTTTTATTCTTAAAAAAATCTAAATTCAAATCATCTTTAATATTACCAAGTTTCGACTCCCGTCACCCTTCAGAACATTGACATATTAACTTTTTGACCTACCCTGAACCCTCCTGCTACCTCCCAGGATACAAAAAGTACATCTGCTGCACAGCTGGGTATAACGGGAGCCCCCACCCACAGTGCATTGCAAACAGGTTTGGGAGAACCAAGGGTTAAGCGAAGTCCCCCAGGAATTCTAATGCCGGCTCCTAATTCAGAAGCTGCCTGGGGCCTAGGTGTAACCACAGCTAAGAAAACAATGCCTAACTACCTCATCTTCAGCAGCATTTAGCATTTATCATGGTCAGAAAACCACCTGTTACTTGGGAGCGATTCAAAACAATCCTGAACCATAATTAAAGCAATAATGAATAAAAACATATTGTGAATTGCTATCCAAACCCCAGGCAGATGTGGTATTTAACTGTGGGCTTGATCTATGCTATTAATTTGGAATAAAAACAACAGACAACAAAACATATTCCAAACCAAGACCTTGCCTGTGCAGGGTTTTTGTTTCTTTTCAAGTCCTTGACTGTCGTGGTTAGTAACCCAAAGGCAAGCAGAGCCCACATGGCTTGCAAACCTGAGTGGTGTCTGACAACACATTAGAACAGCTGGCAGTCTATTAGAATCAAACGCACCAGTGGATCACTGCCGTATCCGTAAGTGACAGGTGAGGGGCATGGGCTGGCGGCACGGCCAGTCAGGTTTCCACCCTCCCAGCTAGGGCTGTGTCCAGCTGAGGCCTCTGGGCCCTGCCGAAGCCAGGAGCAGATCCACGACCCCAAGGGAATCCACAGCTGGGGGTGGATCCAGCCAGGAGATACTTGGGGTGCTGCACAGAGAAACACCTGAAAACACATTTCTCCAGCTGTCAGCAGAATTGCAATTAAACACAGAGACTCATGAGAAAGGGACAGTGGTGGGAAGAGGTCCGTCTCTACCTGGAAGTTCTGTTTAGCAACAGTTAGTTCATTTTTAAGGCTCTGATTCCATCTGTTTAAGCTTCTCCCAGATCTTGAGAGAGAACCGTGCTCTTGAGAGGGGGTGGCAGAGGGCACGGGGCCGTGAACTGAAGGAGAGAGGGCACAACAATTTTGCAGCACGCGGGTGTTCATAACTTTGTACTCAACAGCGCTCTTAAAAGAATTCAGGATTCAGTTGACAGATCTATGCAAATATATGAAAAGTGGAAAAAGACAAGCTAGCATTGTTGCAGAGGTTGAAAGCATCACTTTGATTAGCAATGATTTTTAATCTGCCTCTTTTACTGCAAGGAAACACTGCAAAGACAAGAGCCCAAATGTCAGGAATTAAAGCCTGCCAATGTCTTGTCGGCATATAGTTTAATTCTTAAACAATTACCCTGCCATATACATTTATTCTTAAATTTTATATATTGACACATTAAATTTTGAAACTAAAAGACAAAATGACACATGTAAATACCCCCAAATGTAGAACTGACTTTAATAATTAATTAATCTACCAGTATGTGTGTGTGAGTGTGTGTGCATATATATGTACAAAATCTGTGAAAAGGGCACATTGCTGGTTTATTGCAATTGACTTCGTATCACTCTCAAAGACTGAATGTACATATTCATGCCCTGAAAAAGTTTTCAGTAGATCTTTTCCAGGATAGACTATCATCAATATTTAAGACATGATCTCTATACTAGTTAAAATAAGTTGCACTAATATGAATTCACAGTTGAGAGTGGACTTTTATGTGGCTGTAGGTATATCACTGCCCTTCAGTGGCTCCCCCACCTTTCCAGGGAATTGCAGACTGTCACTCAGGACTGCCCAGAGACAGCCCCAAACACCTTTCCTGGATCCACTTTTCATTACTCTACAAACTTCCTGCAGGCCATAGCGGCCTCCCGAACGCTTTGCAAAAAAGCTTGCCTTTTTTCGTCTTTATGTCTTAGCTCACCCTATCTTCTCC